ATATATATATATATATATATATATATATATATATATATATATATATATATATATTGCCTACTCCTTACTTCGTGCTTGTCTGACTCTCGGTGCTGTGCAGACCCTGACATTGACAATGTCACCGAAAGGCGGAGACACTGTCCCCGCTCGATCATCGTCCATTGCGGGATCTCCTCAGGGGACGCCCAATCCTCGTCAAAGCGTCGATCAATCTCCATGTGCAGCGCGGGGGTTGTTGGGCGTTTCACTGCACAGCGGTGGTCCGGAGGTCCGGTTGGGGAAAAGGCGCTGCGGTGCCGTTTCGCATGCGACTGGCAGCGTCGTTGGCCCGGGCGTGACACCCATTTCGCCTTTCATTGGTGTGTTGGGGGCTTCTCCGCCGGGTGTAGCCGGAGTTCGTGACGCGGCCGCGTATGGAGGTGTGTATGGTGGTCTGTTGCTGCCATCCCCACTCCTGCCTAAGCCGCTGGACTATGCGGCCACGATTCCTTTAGCACCTGTATGGTCACATGCGGTGCCCCCGCCATGTCCCGCTGAAGGCGGTTCTCTTTCAGGAGATCGCAGCGACGCTTGGCGTTGTCCAACCGTTTCACGCCCATGAGTCATCGCCGCGGCGGCGGGTTCGTTTGCGGTGCCGCCTCAGGCTCCCTTTGTCCAACCGTTTTACGCCCACGAGTCATCGGCGTGGCGGCGGGTTCGTTTGCGGTGCCGCCTCAGGCTCCCTTTGTCGCTCCTGATTCCACACCTCCGGTTGACGATGTGGATAGCTCTGCGGCAGTCGGCGGCAAGCTGTGTTCGGGCGGCAGTAGCAACGTGCGTGTGTGTGTGTGGAACGCGTGTCGGAGACGGTTGTACGCTCTCCGCGACGCTATGGCCGGTGTGGATGAGCATCGCGGACCGGTCAGCGACGTTATTGATCGGCTGCTCCACTTGTTGTTGCCAGCCATCCGTGCGGAGTTTGGTGTCGAGGTAGCAGATGTGATTTCTTCTTCGTTGCCATCTCGGTTGTGCGGTCGAGATTTCACGTTGCGTTATATGCCAAGCGATTCCGGTGTTGACTATGGTCAGGGGGGTTCGCAAGGTTCAGCGAGCGGAGGGTTGGGAGAGTCTCATGACGGATCGCAGAACTCGTTCCCGTTATCGCGTCGCGCATCGCAGCGCAGTGACAGAGGGCGAGGCAGACCCCACAGCACGGGTCGCTGCACACCGACACCCGCCCGGCCGCAAACATGGTGGGATAGTTGGGAAGGTGTTGACCAGTGCGGTTCTCGGCCAGAAATTGGCCGTGCCAGTGTTGAGGAGGCGATGGTGTTGTGGAGTGGACCGACGACGCCGGATGTTGTGTTTCTGGAGCCGGTCAAGCTTCTTCAATTGCTGGCCATGTTTCATCTATATTGCCCGTGGCACAAGGACTCGTGCCGTGTGTCTGTGGAGTCTGTCTCCTATCCTGCGCAACTCTGTAAGCTGACGTTCGTATGCGACAAGAAATACAAATGGACGTGGCACACGGCACTCGTCACCACGAACGTATATCAGTCGCGACTGATGCAGCAGCTCTTTCATGCGACGGTCACCACCGGCCTTACGTTCACGCTCCTCGACAACTTTTATGTTGGTTTAGGGATGATGTGCTCGGTGCACAAACCCACATTCTATAAGTTTATGCACACAGAACCGGGGGGGGCGGAGGGGTGGAATGCCAAGGTCGTACGGCAGGGCATAAAATATTGTGAACTTGCCATTGACACTGTGATGCGCCGTGGTGAGCCAGTGACATTGATGGTTGGTGGTCGATATGACTCTGCTAGAGGCGCGCAGCATTGCACTGTCATCGCGATGGAGTACGAGACTCGGCTTGTTGTAGGTGTTCACACTCTCCGTCCGAAGATTGAAGGCAAGGCATCGAATGCGCTTGAGGTGCCAGCCCTCGTGCAACTTTTGCGAGGGCTAATGGAGAAGGGGTTGAAGGTCCGGTGCGTTGTCTCGGATGATTGTGCCGCGCTAGGACCGCGGTTGCGAGCTATGAACATCGAGTGGCAGAAGGATTGCCACCACAAAATTAAAAACATTCGAAAGCACTTCCATAGTACGTTGCAACTGAAGGAAGTAAACAAAGTGAGCAACCCGCACGAGTGTGTGTCAGAGGCGCAGTTTATGCAGTTCACAAAGAAGCGGCTAAAGGAGGTGTTGGAGCAGCGTTTCGGACCTGACGTCCTCACACCTGCTGAGGAGCGGATGAAGAAATCGGATTTCGTCGCTGTCGTCATGCGAAAAATGTACCCCTACGGATCAAGGTCGAACGCTCGAGCGTTGGAGACTGATCCACCCGGCCTAACAGAGTATCATGCGCATGAGGTTGGGATGTGGTTCCTCCGTGCTTGCCAGCTGTGCAGCGAGGAGGACGGAGACGCTGACAGTCTACACCGCGACATCATGTTGGTCGTCAATCATTGGGCTGGTGATCATTCGGGATGTGTCGACGGTAGGGAGGTTCTGTGCGAGAAGGTCGGTGGGCGTGCACGATTGCCTTTGTATAGCCGCACGGACACAGTCTACGAGCTCGTTCTGCGTGTTCTCGATAAACAATGCAGCACTAACATCACGCCGTACTACATCGAGTTTCGGCACACATCGGCAGTGGAGACTTTTCAGGGCACCATCATCATCTATGCGAAGAAGTTGGTGCATTTCGGGAAGTCTTACTGTGCACGTTTGTCGATCGCAGTGATTCGGGGGAACAGTCACTGCTGGCGCGACCTGGTCGGGTATGTTGCTCGCATAGCTGCGGGCACTTCCATACGTGCGAGACCAGGCTTCCGTCGACACTACGGTCACGAGGCGATCGACTGTTGGGAGGACAGATTGGCGGCGTCCGTGTTCGGTTCGGCTCATGTTTCAAACTGGGCTCGAGAGCTTCTGCGACAGGAGGTTTGTCCTTATGGAGCCGGACCATTGCCGCGTGATTTGTTCGTCAACGGTGGGCGCGACCCAGTAGAAGTCGTTGATGATGCTGCCTCCGGTTCTGACCATGAGGCGGTGGGGGAGAACCGTGTTTTCATCATCAGTTACGTGGAGGACGATGCGGTGCCTGCATGTGATGATTGGGTCCAGACATCGAGCTCCGAATCTGAGGGTGACGATATAGAGTTATTCAGCGTTTGACTGGTTGAATGGCTTTATCGTTGACCTGACATTGGTCTGGTGATCCGAATTTCATTGAGCATGGCGTTGTTCACACACATCTCATGGTGTCTTGTTTGTTACGCTACATTATGTCATATATATATATATATGTGTGTGTATATATAGAAACAGTTTGTCACAGCCCCTCGTTTGTTGTCCTCTTCTCCCTCTCTGCCTACGGTTTACCGGGCAGTTCTATTTGACGATATATATATATATATATATATGTGATTCTACTTTGTCCGTCTCTTTGCCTGTGGCGAGGCTGTATACTACCCCGTAGGGTTGCATTTGTAATTTTGTTCGACTGAGGGCTAACCGTGAGACGAACCTGTGAGGAAAATTCGTGAGGGTCATATCTGTAAATATAGGAAAAATATAGGCTCAGCAGTATTTCGAATTTCCTACACGTACCCTTGCTGCGAATAGCAGGCCCGGACTACCCCCAGGACAGACAGGCCCTAATGGCCTAAGCTGATAGACGGTTCTATAGCCTATAGTCACGTCCGGTAGAGGCCGAGAGGCCGAAACTGCAACGGTATTGGTCGGTTAGTCACACCGGTCTAGGTGTAGGTTAGAGTACTGTACTCTATTAGTAGAATGAGGGAAATCAATTGGGGAGCAAGGAACTGGAACAAACTCTGTTATGATATTCGTTCGAGTTGGCTCATCATCAACATCATATCAATTGTGATCTTGTTGAGGTTCTTTATTGTGATTGTTTATTGGGAGTCTGTCGGAGAGTGAGAGTCATTGTGTGACCTCCCCCATGTGTGCATGGTTGAATTCCGCTGCTTATCCTTGTCTGTGTGCAGTTTTGACTCTGTCACCTCCTCCCCTCTTCTTATGCATGTGTGGGCGTGTTTGAGATTGTCTATGTGTTGAGTGCCGAAAAAAATCGTCAGACAACCAAGTGATATATATATATAATATATATATATATATATATATATATATATATATATATTCACACATTTTATAGTATCTTATGTCTTGTGCTTTGTTTTTTTTTGTTTGTTTTCCTGTGCGTATAAATATTATCGGACCAATGTCGAGTTACACATACATCCATACTTCA